TAAATCAATCCCAGACTAAATGATAGCAAGTCAATTAAGCCATTGCGCTCCATGAATGTGAAGTGTATTCTCACGACCTTGGTTGTTGTAACTTAAGATGTCCTAGTCAATAGGACGGATAAGGACAGGATCCTCAATATGGATCGGAGAGATCACACTCACTGCCCCCGGGAAAGAGGGTTGTCGCCTCCCTAAAGTGGGCTTTGCTACGTAAGCTTTTTGGCTTGAATGACCGATATACTCTCTTCGATAAGAATGAGAGGAATTGGCCTCAACGATTAGTCTCGTAAAATATCTTGGGTAGTGAACAGCTGCTTCGAGCATTTCTTACTTTTTCACTGATGCAAAGCGCAGCCTTGCTTTCTCCAGAATAAGACTCGGCTATACAAAAAAGTCCCCTTTCCTCTCTCAGGTGATGTGCCGAGCAGAGTTTAGGCAACCGAGACAAAACTTTCTCCCTTCGCTAACTCTTTATCTTCTCAATTACAGAGCATTCTGCTTCCTGATAAATTCTTTTCTTCGTTCGAGCAAGGCTTGTCTAGCCTGTGCGGAGCAAGCCGGAACTGGCTTCGTGACTGCTGGGACAGTAGCCTCAGTAAAGAAGAGACGTACGTTTTCGTTTTCACTCCTATTTACCTTGGTTATCATAGGACAGAATCTATGACTGACCCTTATACCAGCTGTAATCGAAGAAGACGTCTACCTGCATATCCATGGTATCAGTTGCTAGCTTGAGTAAGGATCTTACCATGAAAGCGGAGCAGGAAAAGTTTGGTCTCACTTTGGCTCGGTGAACATGTAGTACCGCAAGTTCATTCCTACTATGTAAGGCATAGCGCTATCCTATGTTTTTTATCTAAAAGTGCCATTCGGTTAGAAATGCTATCTTGCCCACCCTCAGTAGACTTTCGAACTGTCTCAAGGCCCCTACGATTATCCCATCTCTAAGAATCTCAGGACTTGTGAAGAGCTGACTGACTCCAGCGCTGAACTAACGAATCTCTTCATGTTCTCGAAAGTGGAGTGAACTATCTTTTCGAGCCGGAAACGGGATTCACAATCGCTAGAGTGCGATGGTTCGTTCGAGCGAGTGTATAGGCAGCGCTCAATTACGGAGAAATTGGATCTTTTTTGAGTAAGTAGTCGACTTAGACTAGGATATTGGATGGAAGTGGAGTAGTGACGAGACCCGCATGCTCTTTTGATGCCTTCCTCTCCTCTTCACGACAGATGG